CTACTTCCGAGTGATATCCAAAACTCAGACAATGACTGCATTTGATGCCTGGACACAAGACTGACTTCAAAAGACGATTCCGTCACCGTTTCTATGTTCATGATACAGTTGTCATTGACTTGTTATGCTAAAGATCATTTGCACCTGCTGGATTCTCATCTCTGAGGTGTTAATCCGACAGATTACAATCCTGGATAGGAACGAATACCTAGCCCACCCCGTTATGTAGTTAGGCAGATATTCTTGGCGGCCCACCCGGACTTGACCATGGTTTGAAGAACACTGCCCTAGACACAGATAGACCGGCACGGAACTCTAGCGTGGCACGCTCTACGGGGTCTCTAACATCTAATTCCAGGACAAGGTATGACGTAAGTATCCAACAGCTAGCACACTCCCGCGTGTAGAACTTGGTATGTGCGTATGCCCGCCCACAATAATACCTCGTCTTTCTCTGTGTTAGTTCTCATTTACAATGTTCCCACTTGTTATGGCTTGGTGACAGTTAAAATTAAAAGTCCATAGAATCGACTTGTTCACACAGGGTATTATCCAATATGGCGTGGTCTCTTTTCACAGAACAGCTAGCTGTATGCCAAGAGCGCCACACAAATCACGAACTCTCTAGATCGAGCGACAGAAAATGCTGGTTGTTCCTCCACTTCTGGACTTGAGTCCTGTTCTTAAATTTGCGTGCACACCCGTTTTACAGATTCGGCTTACTTGTACAGACCGTGGCCTTTCAGGCAGCTGTACACCGACTTTGAAGGGAAAACCCCTAATACGTCACCTACGTTAGGGAGGTGGCCGTAACCTTGCTAAAGCCACGAGTCTTTAATACAGTAACCTCATGTTGTGGTGATCCCAAACAATTATGTTTCTTCATAGCTTCAATGAGTGACCATTGTGTGCACTCTCAACCTAAAAAGGGTAGCGAGCCGCAGGTTGACTCGGTTAAGAACCGCTGTTTTTTTTTTGGGGGGGAGGGGGGGTTAGGCTTAGTAGTAGTCACTATTTATTTAACACAAGCCCTAACCCCTAATATGGTACTTTCCAGGGAACCCCCTAAGGATCCCCTATGAAATCTTAAAGCCGACGAGATGTGGTTTTATCAAATTAAAGTACCAAACTGTTTTCTGTGGGGGGGGGGGGTGCATTTTTTATCAAAATATCATAAACTGTGGGTACTATAATTTTAGACTACCCCAAACAAAGGGAAAGCCGGGGGGTAATGACATGGCTCTGGAACACACTGCTCTAAGCTATGTGATATGAAGACATGAGGTTCGTAATCAAATGATACCAGCCATTCTCAAACAAATGTGAGATATATGCGCCTTGTAAATGGATAATGGAAATATGCTGCTGGTTTAAGTTGTGGTAAAAGAGATAGTAAAGAATGTGTTTCCAAAGTCACAGAAATTATATAATCCCCTAGAAGGCTCTCTTAAAAGAACACCGCGTTTAATATATATAAATATTTATATTAAAAGACAAATTGCTTTTGTGGAAAAAAAAAACACGATTTCTGCAGAGGCCCCTGAAGATATGAGGCCCTAAGATGTAGCTTGTTTAGCTGACACCTGAATCCAGCACTGCACCATACCCAAGACAGCGTGCAGAGATCCCCCTCACAGAGCCAGATCCAACACTGCTGACGTAACAGCTGGTCGCCTGCCAACTTGTTCTGTATCACCACCAGCCGGCCTAGTTGCTGATAGCCCAGGTGTTGTCCTAGCAGTGACTCATTCTCGGGCCCTAAACTCCAGTTTTAGTGCTTGATGTACATCTGAGAATTATGGTGTGTGCACAGTAGCCTGCCACGTTTGAGCTTATGTACATTTGTTAGTACCCTGTGCCAACTAAAATGCTGTTCAATCTGCCCTTCATTCCTCTAAGTTCATTCTTCATGCTGTTATTTCATCTCTTGTAAGGTCTTCTCCTTGCTCTGCGTTCATTGTGTTTCTTCAGCGTGACCCTCTGGACAGTTGGTATCATGACATTCACGTCAAATGGCCGAACCATCTCATCTACTGCTCTTTAATTAATTGTGTGACTGTTCCAGTCCTGGTCATCTAAATTATTTTAAACTGTATCTGTTCTTGTTACTCCCAGCAGCTGTCCTAATACACGATCTCTTCTGTTGGAGATATACAAGTCATCCCCTTGGAGGATGCAATATTTTCCGTTATTTGGAAGCCCTACACTGGCTATTGCCAGGGAGTGCAATATAGCCCGGCTATAAATATGACCTGATGGCTGAACGCAGACCTCTCCACGGGTGATCCTCATCCACATGGTGGCACTTTGTGTCATCGGGTGTTTATCGCATGTGTGATGTCTTAGTAGGGTAAGATGTACTACTACTACTATTCTGTTATGATTCTGCTCTCCTTAGTTGCAGTAAGACTCCATGTCTGACAGCAAGAGTTGGGCCTCCAAATACTATTCAACCAGATTGTCTGTATTGCAGACCTGTGATGCCAACATAGAATTCAGTATCTGACGCCAACATAGATTTCAGTATCCATGCAGGCGGAGAAACACCATCCCAGCAAGCATGTCTCTCCATGACCTTGTCATAACCCCTGCTGTGTGATCCAGTCCTGGCGTTCAGGTCACTATCATGCTGAATGTGTTACTTCTTAGATTACCCTCTCCTCTGCGTTTGCTGGATGTAAACTCCAATGAACAGTTCTGGCTGTCTGTCCTACTCTGGACTTTAACCCTGTTCCAGAACCTGTGTGTTGCAGGCAAACAAGTGTAACTGATCTGGTTTATTTGAATGCAGACTACCAGTTCCTTGCATCTCAGGCAGATACACTCCAACTTCAAAGGGAACCCCCAATTAGTGAACTCTTACGACATGAATGTTGGAGAGGCAGTGGGTCTATTCTTGTTTCCTTAAAAATGAGGCCCTGGAATCCCTACAGGGATTAGATTACTTATCTAGTACTTTGAGGTTTCCAGGAAATTCATCTCTGATTCATATAGGGTTTAAAACATTGGAACACATCCATGCTTACTGTCCTTTTTTGTGAGTGTAATGCTGTTGGTATTCTAAAAGTTGTTTCCCACTCTCTGAGTGCTTTCTCTGCCTCTTTAGATAGCAACAGGGCAACTACTTCAGCATGACAGAACTATTTCTCTGATGTTTAGAAAATCCACCAGAACCAATTCCACATTAATCTTATCAAAAAAACAAAACAAGCATATCCAAATAAATAATTACACTTCATTCTGTCCCCATACAATATAACTAGCTCAACAAAAGAAACTATTCCACTTTATTTTGTCCCCAGAATCTGACAAGCTTAACTAAAGAAACAATTCCTTTTAATATTTCCCCAAAATCTGACAAGCCCAACCAAAGAAATAATTCCACTTTAACCTTTCTCTATACAATCTTACAAGCCCAATCAAGGAAACAATTATACTTTAATAATTCTCTAAAACAAGTGATACAGCCGTAGCAAGAATTACTGTAGCTGCGAACGCAACGAAGGGCCGCATATAATTATTTAGACCCACAATAAATGTTATAAATAGTGGACGTGTGAACGACATCAGCAAGCAATAAAAATGCAAATACAGTTACAAAGGCCATTATTCCATTCACAGAAAAAAGACAAACATGTGAACAGCAAATAAAAAAACTATACTTCCAACAAAGCTATTATACACATGAAGCCAGACCAAAGCAATGCTTCAGTGCACAGGATAGTAAAATAATCACATAAACTTTACATGAGTGTGAAAAAATATGACGAACAATACAACTAATGTGGAAGAGACAATAAGAAGGGGAATATAATGAAATCAGCTGCTTGAGGTGGTCAATGATATAAGTTAGTGTCAGTTAGCTAGAAGCCTTAGTGATGTAGATAAAGATGGGTGAACTGATAGAGATATTGAAAAATGAGTACAAAAGGCAAGAAGAGCTTTCATAGCACTAGGGAACTTGTGGAGGTCAAAAGAAATTAAAAATAATAGTAAACTTACAATTTTTCTACAAATGACAAATCAGTACTGTTGGATGGAGCAGAAACGTGGATAGCAACTACGGCAGTTACTAATAAACTACAAACATTCATTAACTGGTACCTGCTCAGAATAGGAATTAAATGGTATGACAGAATCAATAATGTAAAGTTCAGGGAGAGAACTAACCAAGTTCCAGAGGACCGAGAGGTGAAGAAAAGACACTGGAAGTGGCGTTGAACAGGACACATGTTGAGAAAACTCAAGAACAATATAAGTAAAAATTGTCTTTTGCACTGGAACCCACAAGGGCACAGAAATAAAGGGAGACCAAAAATACATGCAGGAGGAAGTTAGAGAGCGAAACTATTTTATATAAAGATGGGAAGGACATGGGGAGAGCTATACGCAAAAGTGAAGGACTTGGTGTGAGTTGGTTGAGGGGACAGAAGGTAGAAGAAAAAGAAGAAGCTAGAAGTAAGTTACCTAGTGGAGGACAAAAAGATAATAGCCGAATGCTGGATTAAGAACAATATCATAGTGCGCTGGAAATTCCCATCTTCAGCAGCAAGCACAGAGTTCCAATTTAAATGGCACTAACTGACAGTATCAGACAAGGATAAATAGTGAAAGATTCTATTCAAAGACCTCATTTTCATCAATTAAAAAAATGTAAACCAGGTGGGGAAAGAATGAGTCATTACTGGGTAACTGTTGCTACCAAATGATGAGGTAAATAGGGGCGACTGCAGTTGGGCTGATATCAAAAGGCATTCCTGTTGCATATTTCTTGTGTTCCATGTTAACCATCACAGTTTATCAGTTCTGGGTGTTGTTTTTACAATATACAGATTTGCTGAAATATTTGGTTGTGTTTGTTTGTGTGCATCTTTGTGTTGTATTAAGAATGTGCCGCTATCAAGACAGAAAAAAGACATGACTGGGCAAACACTTGCTAAAACTACAAATAACTATAAATATAAATCACAAAAACATGACAAAACAAACAAATAAATTACCTTAGCCAGTCTGGCTCTCTTGATGAGGTCATTCAGCTTCCGCAAGGCAGCGTTCCTTGGCAACAATTGCAAGTCTTTAAATAAATCTTGCTCTTCCAACTCAAACAGGCGGCGGTTCATATCAAACTGCAGCGGCTGATCCCAGAAAGACCCAATGTATACCCTGGCAACTTCTGGTGTATTCAACACTTTCCCTAAGGACCACATAAGGGCGCCATACACTCTCATAAGCTGTTGGTGGTTGATCATGTCCGATTTGTTCAGGACAATTCTAATTTTGTCATCATGACCTTTAATTGCTTCAATTGCCCGTCGGAATTCGTCAGAAATATCAAGCTTGTGGGCATCGAATAACAAAATAATTCTGTCCACATGCTCGGCAAACCACTCGAGAACACCAGCGAAATCATAACCGCGGTCTACTCTCTGCTTCTCTCCTGACAAGATACCCGGGGTATCCACGATTGTAATGCTATCTAAAACTGGATTCTTCATCTGGGAACACTGAAATCTATTAAGAAACGTATTTCCAAATTTAGTTAACGGTTTAAACTGTTTCTTGGGGTCTACAACCAATGCGTTTCCCGGGATGACACTTTCTGTTTCTCCTCCCATTATAACTATGAAGCGATCTGTCGTAGGTTCGGGTCCTATCCTCATTCCTGGGAAATCCTGCTCTAACAGATATCGAATAAACGTGGTTTTACCTGTAGAATATTGCCCGATCAACAGAATCACCGGCTTGGCATCGAAATCCGGATCATCTAAAGCAGGCGAGTGAAAATCGTGGTATCTGTAAGCTTCTTCTAAAGGCAGTAGTTTATTTCTGTAGATTTTCTTCAGCCCTTCCACAACATTGTTAAAAACTTCTGGTTCTTTTTTCCGCCTGTTGTCATCTGCCAGCCACCGCATCATGCTGGTAGTGTTAGAGACCGTGAACTCGAAAGAATCACAAGCGAAATAAACCTGTTTATAACTTTAATCCAAACTGCTGTGTGTGAGATAAAACTAAGAAACTAGACAGGTTTGCGGTATCGTTGATGTCCCTGCCGACTTCTGCAACTCAATGAATGACCCGGAAGTGTGTCCCTTTAAAATACCTTCACTGTCAGGGCGCATGCCCAGTGTCGCTGTCACCTCGACCTCCGACCCCTCACCTTGACCCTCAAGGCTGACGTCAGTTCATGTTTTGACGGGCTCCGGGTCTCCATTGAAAGGCAGCAGACGGGCAGAGATTTTGTTTACTCAATTTTTGTTGTCGTCTTTGTCTCCACATCGTTTTCTCCTCGCTGTGATCGTCAGTTGGTTCATTCCAGGTATACATTCTTAGACTCTAGTTTATGTCCGTGTCTTGTACTTTATTTAACATTTGAAAATGTAGCAGTAGATGCACAGTCACCTATATTTGAGTTATGTTTACAGTTTTAACAGTCGTCTTTGTCTCGCTATTGTCCCCGCCACCAGATCATGTCCTTGTTCTAAATGTACATTCTAGACTATTTCCGCGAAATGTATTTCAGTATTTGATTTTATACTGACAAAACCGGACCGATAGATATCCATAGTCTCCAAACTTTACATTGTGACCTCATCCACTGTAATCGTTTGTTTGTTTATTAATTCCAGGTATGTAGGCTATTACAGGTAAGAGGTAGACGAAGTACATGGGAGTTTATAGCAAAAGCGAATGAACGTCGTTTAATGCAGCAAATCCTGACTTATGATATCACAACGTCTAGTTTGAGAATGGAGGTTGAGGCAGTCACTGCTGCATTCTGCTGGATTACAGATCAGATGTACATAATTGTAGCTTACTTATAGTAAGAACCAGTCATCCCCTTGTGGGATGCAATGTTTCGTTATTTTCAAGCCCCACCCTGGCTCTTGCCAGGGGCTGCAATATAGCCTGACCATAAATATGGTCTAATGGCTGAATGCGGTTTCTGGGACCTCTCCGTTGGTGATCCTCATCCATATGGTGGCACTTTGTGTCATCAGGTGTTTATCGCTTGTGCGATGTCCTAGTGGGGTCAAATGTACTACTACTACTAATTGTAACTTACTTACAGAGTATGTTTAGAAAGGTGAAGACAGGCATACTCCATGCAGAGTGGCAAGCATCACTTCAGAGGTCCCGGGTAGTTAGCATCCATTGGATATTTTCTCTAGGTTATGACAGTGTGTTGAAAAATGAGCAGGCAGATAGACTGAGCAGTTCTGCACCGCTTGGTGATGAACTAATGTATGACAAGCTGGATTGAACAGTGCGGAGGCACAGATAGATCATTACAGTCTGAGAAGAATGGCACAGCGAGGAGTTACAAGGGGATCTGGCCGGCGCTTAACACTCAGGGTAAAGGTGAGACGAATTTACAATCAGACAGTTACTGGTGCCATCGGAATTGGAACTCTTTGCTTTCTGCTGAAGATGAGGATAGAGCGATTATGAGTGCTGTGATGTCGATTCTTGTTTCCAGCATTCCAGGTATGCACTCTAGTGTTGTTTGCCCATCTAATGTATTTGATTTAATGCTACATGATCAGTGTAAAAAAAAAAGTAAACATCAATGTACCCTATTCAGTGAGATGATCACATTTATAACAACATCGTTAAGATTAATAGACTAATATTCTAAAGAATTTACATCCGGTCAACGCCAAAAAAGAAGAAGAGACCCACAAAGTGCCAATTAGTAAGCATGATAACCGTTACATCTTTTTCAAATTTGTAACCTGTGAGAAAGAATAAATAAACAAAAGAACTAATCTCTTTAGAGCAAAAACCAACTCTTGAGGAACGTTTAAAATGACTTATAACACTGAAAAGACAGACAGTGGAAAACCTAACTCAGAAGCAGTTATACAAAAATTAAAATAACATCCTTAAAAAGCTGCAAAGTCAATAACAAGGTGTATAAAAGAAGTAAGTAAAGGACCCTTTTCTACGCCATTAGGTTATAGGGCATATAGGGCTAGACCTATATTTTAATAGACCAATCGGCACTAGATGGGTGATGGGGTCAGCATCACGCCGGCCCCCTTCACTTCCCGGGACTGCACCCGGTACCCACTCAAGGCCGGGTTGACCTGGGAGCCAAGGTCATTTTTTTTTTAAAAGTCCGGCTCTGCCAGGGAGCAAACCCACGACCTTCCGATCCACGGCGAGCGTGTAGATAATTGGTATCACTATTACATTTGATTATAACCAACAAAATCCTCACATAATTAATGACCCCAATTATAACCTTATTCTAGGTTAAACAGGCGAATCTTTGTAGCTTAAAAAAAAAATTTATTTTATTTTCTGTTGCTTTCATATACCAGGAAGATTAACACTTAGGAAGTTGTTCAGGGAATCGCGTGCTAGCATGTTGAGGCTGACTACATTTACATGTTGTTTTTTTTTAATTAGGCTCTGTTGAAAAGGAAGAACAATGGGACGCATATTCCTCCAGCATATTGGGGGATCCCGACTGTTCACTTGTGGGAACTGCAACATTGCGCTGACAAACAGAGCCGAGCTAATCTCAACCCGTTTTACAGGTCAGCACAGTGCAATTGCCACACCAGTTAGTTTGTTGTCTGTCTTTTAAACACACCAGTCAGTTTGTTGTCTTTCTTTTAAACACACCAGTCAGTTTGTTGTCTTTCTTTTGAACACACCAGTCATTTTGTTGTCTGTCTTTTGAACACACCAGTTAGTTTGTTGTCTGTCTTTTGAACACACCAGTCAGTTTGTTGTCTTTCTTTTGAACACACCAGTCAGTTTGCTGTCTGTCTTTTGAACACACCAGTCAGTTTGTTGTCTTTCTTTTGAACACACCAGTCAGTTTGTTGTCTGTCTTTTAAACACACCAGTCAGTTAGTTGTCTTTCTTTTAAACACACCAGACAGTTTGTTGTCTTTCTTTTGTTATAATATTGTAAGAGAGGGGGATGTGTGGCATAGTAGCAAGCATGCTTGCCTCCTGAACCAGTGATTATATGTTTCAATCTTAATTCAAGGTAAGGCAGGGAAGTCATATTGACCTGGTCTTGCAGTCAACCAACCAGGTGCCATCTCCACACTGAAGGTTGGCTGCAGTGGATCTCCAACATGCTCCTTTTTTGCTTTATGTGTACACTCTCTCATACTCTTTTATCATATCTTCATGTTATCCACCCACTTGTTACATTGCCTGCCACTTTGTTTCTTTCCTTCGATACCCCCACCCCCAAGTATGGTTTTTATAAGAATAAAAATTATATCTTTTAATATTGCTGAAATATTTCTCTTTTATTTCGTTCTAAAACTCTTTTCATTTCTAGTCACTTAAGAACTCTGAATTTAATTGTTTTTTGTTTCTATGAAATACGACCTTATGGTTTTATTTCTGTGAAATACAACCTTATGTTTTTGTTTCTTTGAAATGCAGCCTTTTGTTTTTGTTTAAATAAAATATGACCTTATATTTTTGCTTCTATGACACATGACCACCTTATGTGTTTTCTATAAAATATGACCTTATGTTTTTGCTTCTCTAAAATATGACCTTATGTTTTTGCTTCAAGTAAATACGACCAATGTTTTTTGCTTCTATGAAATATGACCTGATTTTTAAAAAAATGAAATACAACCTTATGCTTTTGCTTCTATCAAATACAACCATATGTTTTTGCATCTATGAAACGCGACCTTATATTTGTGTTTCCATGAAATACGACCAGATTTCTGCACAGATTGCAGTAAACACTGAAAAGTATAACATTGGGTCTCAGGTTTTGTAAACACTTTTCTCAAATTTATGGTTACAAATTTAGAAATTGCCAATTTTTTTTTTTTATTTCAATTTCATCCAGGATTTATGTTTTTAGTACATATTTTCTCTATCATGTAAGTTAAGTGTTGAATTCTGCAGCGATATGGTAAAGTCATCTATAACAGTAGCTGCATAGGTTATGTAGAACTCATGTAGTTGAAATCATAGCTGCACCTCTTTTTTTCATATCAATAAACAGATGTAAAACAGATGTGCATGAAAAACTCCATTTTTGAAAGACTAAAGTACAGAAATGAACAAACACCCAGAATTTTCTGCCAGAGTTTACAGCCAGTATCACAAAGGAGAAGATTATTGGGAAACAAAACTAACTTACTACCAAACTGGAAACGGTCATAGGCTTCAGAATACAGATACGACTGGAATAAATGTCAGTCAGATGTATTGAAACACCAGACCTCCCTAAATCTCCCCATAGAACAATTGGCTCATGATGAATGTTGATGGCGGAGTTATACTTATTTTTTATAATTGTTTCTTTCATACAGGGGCTACAGGGAGAGCATTTTTATTTAACCGAGTGGTGAACCTGCAGTACAGTGAAGTTCAGGATCGGGTGATGTTAACTGGACGTCACATGGTACGGGATGTGTCCTGCAAGTACTGCAGCTCCAAACTTGGCTGGATCTATGAGTTTGCCACGGAGGACAATCAGAGGTACAAGGAGGGCAGAGTTATTCTTGAACGGGCCTTGGTCCATGAGGTTGATGGCATGGATGAACCCGTGCTCAATGACAGTTGATTGTTATTTCTTCTCTTTCATTTGTTTATTTGATTGTTTTTTGTTTATGTTTTGTTTGTTTATTTTATTTTATTTCTTTTAGATTGTCTGTTTATTTTATTGTTATTTGTTTATTTTATTTTTATTTGATTCTGCTTTGTTCGTTTATTTTATTTCTTTTAAATTGTTTGTTTGATTCTTTTTTGTTTGTTTATTTGATTTTTTTTTTAATATTGTTTGTTTATTTGATTGCCCATCATGGTCATACTCTCCTTGTTTGTCTTTAATCTCTGCTGTATATTTTTGTAACTTATTTTCGTACCATTTCCTGTTTTCTTTAATGTAAATTTTATTGTGATTGTAAATAATTCTTGTATCTGTTTAAATCATAGCTATTTCGGGTTCCTATTTCATATTACACATTCAGAGTGTAAGATTGTAGAATCACAAAACAAAAATTATCTTGAAGATTGTCAATCACTTTCAAGTTTCTTGTCTGGAAAATGAAATCATATAGTTGGTTTTCAAGTCGGTACATTCACAAAACAAGGCGGTAAAAATTCGCTCAATGTTTAATTATTTTTTTTTCAAGATATTTAATCACTGTTAACTCTTTTGTAGAGAGCTAAACAAAATCCATTAATCGAGAGGTTAAGAAAAGAAAGGACGCAGGTTGAGAAAATCTAAGAACAGTATAACTAGAATGTCTATTACTAGAAACCACAGGGTCATAGAAATAAAGGCAGACACACAAAAAACACACACAGAAGGGAAGTTAAAAAGATAGACATTGGGGCAGCTGGATGTGATAGCAAAGGACTGGGCAACTTGGAGGACACAGGGCAGATGACAAGAGAGAGAGAAGATCCTTTTGTAGAATTTAAATTCACATTTTAGTTTCATGTTTCAGAGTTCAAATTTGAGTGATGAATTACTGTTTCATAATATCACATGATTTTCTTTTTCCTTTTGTAAAGTTGAAACTCACATCATGGTTTCACCTTTCAGTGTAAAGATTTCATTGATGAATTTATATTTTGGGATATAAATTTACTTGATCTTGTTCTTGTTGTTGTCGTCCTCTATTGGAGTAAAATCTCACTAGCTTGTTTTCAAGTGTAAAAACTATAGATTTTTGTTTCAGGAAAGTTTACTAAAGATTCAGCTATCATTTCAGATTTGTTTATAGTTGAACAACGGAGTTAGTGCAGTAAACTGATTTCTCTTCTGCTTCTTTTTTGCTTTCATTAGCTGTAAAGTAAACTTCAATGGAAAGTTCTGCTTGTTCATCCACTTCTGCACTTTACTTGTTCCAGAGCTTGAGTTTTGCATGCACATCCATTTTACATGTGTGGTTTATTTGTATACAGACTATTGGTAACTTGCCTCTTAGGCAGATGCGTTCTGACTTTGAAGAAAACTGATTGGAGTTGGTACCGAGAAAAAGTCACGGACCTTTCTGCTTCTTCTTTGCGTTCACCGGCTGTAAACTTCAGCGGAAAGTTCTGGTTGTTCATCCACTTCTAAACTGCAGTCCTGTTTCAGAACCTGAGTGTTGCGTGTGCATCCGTTTGACAGATCTGACTCATATGTATGCAGACTGTTGGTTTTTTGCCTCTCAGGCAGATGCACTCCGACTTCGAAGCAAGCTCCCAATTAGTTGATTCTTACTTTATGTTTTTGGGTAGGCAGTGCGTCTATTCCTGTTTTCCCTATAATAGGGCCCAGGAACCCCCACGGGAAGTACAAGCCCTTTAATATGCCAGTTAGGCTTCAGAATATTGATGCTAGACTCGTAAGAAACTATCAGCATTCCGTGGGTGATGGGATCAACATCACACCGATTGCCTTTATTTCCCAGGACATTTACCAGGTACCCATTTTAGGTTAGGTCGACCTAGAAGCTGGGGTCATTGTCAAGGCGAAAAATTAGCAAGTATCTATTTCTGCCAATTGTTAGATGTTGCCTTTTCCTCCATGTATGGACTGAAAGGGTGTAGTTCTGTTACTCAGCTACTGAGTTGAGTGCATAGCATCACACTGAGCTGCGGATTTCATTTGGAATCCTTTTCATCAGTGTCCAGTGTGGATTGTGTTGTGTTGCAAATTCAGAAAATGTTGAGTGGTCTGTTGATGGGAAACTTGAGGTGCCTTGTGCAATTAATTGCATGTACAATTACTAAGCTTTTGTAACTGCTGCTTTTGTTGATGATGAACTGCATTTCTAGTATTGGACTGTTTGTGTTGGCACTTCTGTCTGCCGCCTTATGCCTTTAATGTATCTGTAAGCTGTTGGGTTTGCTAAGACTGCAGCATATATTAATTTTTTTTTACAAGGGACACTGATGGACTTCCTGTGTAGTTTTCATTGGCACAGAAACACAGCAGCTATGGGATGACCTATATGTAGTGAAGCTAGACTTGTGGTTTTACCTGATTAACTATAGAAATCTGACTTGATGCAGATTTGAACACTAAACTCTTGGTCTGGCAGGTGAGCATTTAGCCACAACACTCTATGGGCTCCCAAGCGAAATATTTGAGACCACACAGGCCTGTGATCTAGTACGTACATTGGCCATCATGACCCTCTGAAGCTGTCCTTGTTCACGATTGCAACAAGCGTTTCGTCCTTTTCAGGATGAAATGTTTTGTTATTTGAAGCCCCACCCTGGCTTTTGCCAGGGGCCGCAATATAGGCAGGCCATAAATATGGCCAATTGTCTGAACGCGGTTTCTGGGACCTCTCCACTGCGATCCTCATCCACATGGTGGCACTTTGTGTCATCGGGTGTTTATCGCTTGTGTGATGTCCTAGTGGGGTACAAAGTCAGTCAGTCAATGCTGTCCTTTGATAGTTTCATGAAGCTGTTCTTGAGCGAGCACATTAGATGTTGTCAGACCAGATATGTTTCTCTTTGCCTATGTAGTTGCATTGACAGCCAGGATATGGCTCAGTGGGTGCAGTGATGAAGTGTCTGTTGACAGATTTGTCTCCACTGTTGTTTGATTCCCTGCCATTATATATTTGGTTTCATTGATGGTATCTTTACTTCTCATCTAGAATATAGTATGTTTGTTTTTTCTCTTGAATTAGTTTGAATCATCTTCCACTGCAAAATGACGCAATTCTCCTAACAGGATTTTTGCAAAATATTTGCCATTTGATAAAAAGGGGATAAATAATGGGTGTCTGTACATTGTGCATAAATCACTAGTGAGCCTTTGATGAGTTCTGGTGTATGAATGTGAGTGTGTACGTATATACACACATTTGTATGTGTATGCATATGTCTTCTGAATGTATGTATGAGTTTAACATGACAATATTTAGCCAATTCATATATTCCTAGGAATAAAACATGAGTTATTGGTGCACGTTTTTTCTTTTTTGTCCTTGTTATTTCCCTTGGTAGCGAAATACTCCTGTTTTTGTGTAACATTTATGCGACACTAGCAGAATGTCTTGGTGGGTCTGAGTTTTTTGTTGTTACCGCACAATGGTGCCCTGGAATGCATACGGGGAATCTCCCTTCAGATAATGTATCATCTCCCTTCAGATGATGTGTCGTCTCCCTTCAGATGATGTATAATCTCCCTTGAGATGATGTGTCATCTAACTTCAATTGGTATTTCTTACCGCTACTGCACCCTGAGTGGTAAATTGGCTGAAAGTCCCTTGGCAAGAGTGTAGATTTCACCTGTGAAGTCCATTACACTCGCGTTCAAACCATTGGGTACTTAGGAGGATATCTATATATGAGAGGAAAGTTCCCGCAGATTTGTGATGGGGAAGGGGGGTGTCCAGCCCAGATATTTTCTCTGTTAGGACTTTTATGCAGTTATCCTTTTTTCTAGGTAGTTGACCTCTCCTTCCCGGTTTGTGTTCAAGGCCACCGCTTTGAAGAAAATCAGAATAGACCCACTGCTACTTTAGTAAGCATGCCGTAAAAGGCTCTAATTAGGATTGTTTCCTTCAAAGGCATGGACACAACAGCCTGCATTCTAATTGGCTAGATCTGTAAAACGGATGTTCATGCAGAACTCAAGTTCTGGAACAAGGCTGAAATTCAGAAGTGGATGAACAACCCCAGCTTTCTGCCAGAATTTACAGCCGGTGAAAGCTAAGAAGTAGAAGAAGAACCTCTTCCCTTAAGGATCCTGAGAATGGCCCCAACAGTTTAGGGATCATCATGCTCTCCCATACTGGGACCTCTGGCTCCCAGCAGTTTAGGGATCATCATGCTCTCCCATACTGGGTCCTCTGGCCCCCAACAGTTTAGGGATCATCATTCTCTCGCGAACTGGATCCCCTGCGTGACCCCTAACAGTTTAGGGATCATCATGCTGTTCCATACTGGGTTCTCTGTGTGACTTCCAACAGTTTAGGGATCATCATGCTCTCCCATACTTGGTTCCTTTGTGTGACCCCCAACAGTTTAGAGATCATCATGCTCTCCCATACTGGGTCCTCTGTGTGACCCCCAACAGTTTAGGGATCACCATGCTCTCCCATACTGGGTCCTCTGGCCCCCAACAGTTTAGGGATCATCATGCTCTCCCATACTGGGTCCTCTGTGTGACCCTCAACAGTTTAGGGATCATCATGCTCTCCCATACTGGGTCCTCTGTGTGACCCCCAACAGTTTAGGGATCATCTTGCTCTCCCATATTGGGTCCTCTGTGTGACCCCCAACAGTTTAGGGATCATCATACTCTCCCATACTGGGTCCTCTGGCCCCCAACAGTTTAGGGATCATCATGCTCTCCCATACTGGGTCCTCTGTGTCACCCCCAACAGTTAAGGGATCATCATGCTCTCCCATACTGCGTCCTCTGGCCCCCAACAGTTTAGGGATCATCATGCTCTCCCATACTGGGACCTCTGGCCCTCAACAGTTTAGGGATCATCATGCTCTCCCATACTGGGTCCTCTGGCCCCCAACAGTTTAGGGATCATCATGCTCTCGCGAACTGGATCCCCCTGCGTGACCCCCAACAGTTTTGGGATCATCATGCTG